TTAAAAACAGTATGTAATAATACCTAAGCTTATATTACAAAAAAAATATAAAATATATTTATATTTAATGGTTTGTTACAACAAATATAATCAAAAGAAAACCCCTCAATTTAAATTAAAATGTAATTTATTGTTCTATTCCTTCATATACCCATTGCCCTTTTGGAGGTTCAACTTCAAGTGGTTCCCATCTAACAATATAATTTTAAGTAAATATCAAATTCATTCAACTCATTTTAAAATAACAGTTGTATTTTTAGTACATTTAAATACATACGGTTTCCATTCTTCCATTTTAGCGACCAACTTTAATTCATCTTCAGCTTGCCAAATCATTTCTTCAATTTGTCCAGCACCAGTCTTGTCTTCAATTTCTTGAATATTTTTAGTAGATTCAACAATTTCAAGTCTTTTTTGAGTTAAAGCTTCCGTAGCTTGACGATAAATGGCTGTAGGTGGAATATGCGTCAGAGCATTTAGTGTTTGTTTATAAGTTTTAATTAAATGTGGCCTTGGATTTGGATGTACCGCTAATCCAAATATTCCCGTTGTGGCCTAAATAATAAATGAATTTGTAAATTTTAAATATATAATATAGACCCATTTAGTTGGATCAATTATTTTAAATTCTTTTTAATTCCTGACCTTTTGAGCTGCTTTCATCAAATGGCGAGTAATATGCATTGGAAATTAAACCTCTAAAGAGAATAATCAATATTAGAAAAAAATAAAGATATAAAAGTATAAAATCAAGGAAAATCTTGAATTACTTGTTTATGAGACTTATCAAGATTCGTTATTCAACTAGAATAAAAAGGTCAATTGCGTTTTCACTCGGTTTTTTCAAGGTAGTTATCATAAAATTTGTTTGAATTAACGAAAATACACCGAAAATTTAGGTTAATGAACAAAGATTATTTTTATTTTATTTTATTTTATTTTTTTTAAAAAAAAAGGATAAAAACGTTTATCTGATTATGAACATCCCCAATCATTTTTCAAAGGACAATTTGTAGGGTTCCTGGGAATTTTACCGAAACTCCTATTAAGGAATTAGTCGAATTAGTCGATATCATTAATTGATCCAATTCAATTCTTGAAACATCCGAAACTTTTACTACAAATGTTGGGGATTGTATTATACTAGAAAAGGCATTAAATCCGACTCCTGGATCGAAAATGTAACACAAATTACGCGCGTTAATCTTTTTTTTTCCCTTATAAAAGTTCGTGTTTTTTCTAACATGTATTACAAAACTGTCAATTTTGTTGTTTTTCTTTATAATGTCTTATCCTGAAAACGTTGGTATTTTGGCTGTAGAAATATATTTCCCAAAGAGAGTACGTATAAGCGTTTTCTTTTTCCCCGACCTTATCCAACTACGAGATGACTTTTATTTGCAGAATTGGTAATTTTTATCAAATCATTTACTAATTCGTACGTTTAAATTCATGTTCGGTGATAGTGTATCGACCAAGCCGAACTTGAAAAATATGACGGCGTTTCAGCAGGAAAATATACCATCGGATTAGGACAAACTAAAATGGGATTTTGTGACGATCGCGAAGGTTAATAAATTATTTATTATTTTATGACGAATTTCACGACGAGTCAATTAAAACATTGCCTTTATTACACAATTTTAGATATCAATTCTATCGCGTTAACTGGTAAAGTGAACTTTGTCACATCAACATCGAAGAATTTTAATTCAATTTTAATCATTTAATTTAATCATATTTAGTTGTTCAAAATCTTATTGAAAAATATAAGATTTCTTATAAAGATATTGGTCGTGTTGAAGTTGGCACAGAAACCATTAGTAGGTTTACATTGATTTAAAAATAATTTTAATTTTCATTATAAAACTAACACACATTTAGTTGATAAATCAAAATCGGTAAAAAGCGTAATAATGCAACTTTTCAAAGAATCCGAAAATACTGACGTCGATGGCATTGATACCACAAACGCATGTTATGGGGGTAAGGTATCATTTTTTTATATAAATATTTTTTCTGCAAGGAAAATCAACTTTACTATTAAAATTATTTAGGCACTTCTGCTCTTTTTAACGCGTTAAATTGGATCGAATCATCATCATGGGATGGTCGTTACGCTCTTGTCATTGCCGGTGATATTGCTGTCTATGCATCCGGACCGGCACGCCCAACTGGTGGAGCCGGATGTGTTGCCATGATTATCGGCAAAGATGCCCCAATCGTTATTGATCGCGGTAATTAATATTTTACATTCGATTGATTAAGTTTGATTACGTAATTTGTTTAATTTTATATATACATAGGTCTTCGAGGAATTCATATGGAACATGTATGGGATTTCTGTAAGTGTTTTCATCCGATTAAAATAAATAGATATATTTAAAATATTGATAAATTTTTTATTCCCATGTAGATAAACCTGATTTAACATCAGAATTCCCAGTGGTTGACGGGCATCTCAGTAATTCTTGTTACCTTAAATCATTAGATACGTGTTATAATCGTTTCATGACGAAACTCATAACAAATGTAAATATTAATTATATTGAAAGCACAATTTTTATAAAAAAAAAAGTTTTCTTATAATATATATATGTTTTTTATAATGTTATAGGAAAAGGTTGAAAAGCCCACAGTAAACATCTTTGATTACATGCTGTTCCATGCGCCCTATTGCAAACTTGTGCAGAAATCGTATTCAAGGTTGTTCTACAACGATTTCGTTCGTAATCCCGAAGATCCATTTTTTAAATCTGTCCAACACTTCAAAGTATGATATTTTATTATAGTAATTTCAAATTATAGAATGAATGAAACACTAATTTATTTGCTTTTAGGATATGAGTGTGGAGGAATCTTTGCGTTCAAAAGATCTTGAAAAGGCATTTATGGAATTATCGAAACCTTATTATGAAAAGAAAGTTAATCCGACCCTCTTAGCTTCAACTCAAGTTGGAAATATGTATTGCGCTTCTTTATACTCAACACTCGCATCGTTGTTATCCAATGTTCCAGCCGATAATCTCGTATGTTAAAAGAACATTTTTTTTTAAAAAAAAAAAAAATTCTCGTTATATCTAACGAAGTTTAAAAATTTATGATTAGATTGGAAAACGCGTAGGAATGTTTTCATATGGATCAGGACTTGCATCATCATTTTTCTCATTTCAAATTAAAAAATCCGTTGCAGACATTAGTAAAATATTAGATGTACCAAATCGACTTAAATCTAGACTCGAATTAACGCCAGAGAAATTTAATGAGGTAATGAAGTTAAGAGAAGAAGTTCATGATCAAAAAGATTATGTACCTTTAGGAGATGGTTCTTCAATAGAAGATGCATTCTTTTCAGGAACTTACTATTTAGAACAAATAGATTCTAAATGGAGACGTTCTTATAAACGTGCAGCATAAATTATAATAATTTATTCATGAATCTACTTCCGTGAAGTTGAAATTATTTAATATTAGTTTGTAATTATGTGTACTTAATTTGTAATTTATAACTTATTTAGTAGATTATTGTTATCAATAATAACAGAATAAATGTTCCCTTCACTGTTTAATAAACAAACGCAATTCTGAGTTAGATCTTAGAATATTAATATTTAATTCGTATTTTATTATATTTTCGATGTAATGTATCCGAATTAAGATGGATTAATAGGAAAAAATTAAAGATAAATCCTAGGTTCTATAAACCAATTAGGTGTTTTAAGAATATGGGAGGTTTGCTATTAAAATCGAGTTGAAACTTGGTAAATCATATGATCCGTAACGTGATTTTAATAGCAAACCTCCCATATTCTAAATTAGAAAAAAAAAAACTAAAAAATTGCATTTAAATTTATTAAAAATTGTCTAAAGGTGTTTTTGCTATGGGTCAAACTCGATAAATACCAGTATCCTAACAAAGATTTCGGTAAGGTTGTTTAAATGGATCTCGTTTAAGTTCTGGATGAAGGAAATTGGGCGACGCAGAAATCGTCCCAACTTCCATTCTAGTACCGCTTTGCAGCGGATTATCTGACTTGCTATAAATAAAAAAGAAAAATTTAAAAATAATAAAAAAAAAAAAAAATTTTTTTACGTATGTCCATTGCCAATCCTCGTTATATATAATATATGGTTTTTGTTCGGAATCTTTAAAAGTGATAAATTATTACGAAATAAAATAACAATAACGATACGATATTTTGGTAATTACCGACTAGAACCATCGCTCTGTTTTTGATAAAGAGAGAGAAAGAAAGGTACAGTGTTAAAATTAATCTTTCATAAAAATGAATTAAACAAATTTTCAGTAATTTTAATTTATTTACAATTTAAGTATTCAACACGTTGGTATATTTTTTTTTGAAGAAATCTCATCTCTCATCACCTGTAATATTGAGTATTTAAAATTAGAAAATAAAGTTTATTAAACTATTCTAATCCAGAATATTTATATAAGCGATTATTTCTAAACTTGTTTAACATCCCTAATCCGGTATGTATCACCAAACTTTTGTCCTACTTGTCAAAGAAAAATTTTTGACAAGACTAATCGTGTAATAAATCAATCTTTTATTTTCTTTTCGGCATAAAGTAATTAATTCTTTGAAAATAAAATAATTAATTAAAGGAATAGAAAAAAATTAAAAAATTTCAACATTTAAATATACATGCTCATGATATTAGAATAGGGCTCTTATAACCGACTTAATTAATCTTATAAGAAAAGACTTGCTAATTTTCTGTAGAGAACTTCTTAATGAATAAGTAAATTCGGCTCCTTGATTTTACACGTTATTTTATAGGTTTAAGGGTCATAAAACTAAATGGAGATCAAAGTTCTTTTTTTTTTTGAAAAAAATAAAAAAACAAAAAAAAATTAATTTCGTATTTTCTTTTTAGGGAATTCTTTTTAACTTCGTTCAAAGCTCATTTCACTTTACATATATTACATTTAATCCCAGGTATTATTAAATGGAACTGGAAATCACAATCAAATTTTTTTTTAGATAATTATTGCTGACAATTGAATCTACTTATGCCAAGTAATCTTTTCTTCTATCTCCTGTAGTAATAAAAAAGAATTTGTTTTTGCTTAAGATATTTGTTTAAACTTTCATTTTCCTTTATGTTTAGTATTTACAATTACATAATTAATTTTTGTCGTACAATAAAGGTTAAATAAAGGTTGCACAATTATCCATGATATAAAAAAAAAAAAAAAAAAAAATCTTTTGTTTTTCGATCATTATTTAAATTCTTGATTTTGATAAAATGAGTACAACACAAAAAGTTTCAACAATTTCATCAACAGTTAATGTGATGAAGTCTAAAGAGACTATAAGTGCACTTCCAGGTTTTCTTATAGGTGGTGCAGCAGCGTGTACCGCAGTTACATTTACCAATCCGTGGGAGGTTCGTTTGGTATAATTCACAAACTGAAATTTTTCATTGAAGACGACATTAATAACATCTATTTAGGTTGTGAAAACTCGATTGCAACTTCAAGGAGAATTAGCCCGTAATAATTCAAATTATGTTAGACCTTATAGAAATATATTTCAAGCGGTGTATCTTATTCTTAAACATGAAGGAATTCGCGGTATTCAAAAGGGTTTAGGTAAAATTCTGCTATTCATCCGATTCAAGTTGATCATTTATTTATAAATTAAGTAAACTTTTCTTGAAATATGTTTAGGTCCAGCTTATGCGTACCAATTAGTGATGAATGGAGCACGACTTGGACTTTATGATCCGATGAGAAATTCACTTGTAAAATTTTTTAATACATCAAGTACTTCGCTTCCAATTAGTATAATTTCTGGATTTTTATCAGGATCAATTGGAGCTGCGATAGGATCCCCGATATATCTCGTTAAAACTCGTATGCAATCATATTCAACGTTTTCAGCAATCGGACACCAACATAATTACACAAACACTTTTTCTGCTCTACAAAACGTGTTTCAAAGGGAAGGATTTAAAGGTGTTTTTAGAGGAGTTGATGCTTCTATGATTAGAACTGGTGTTGGATCATCTACTCAATTGTCAAGTTATTTTTTAATAAAACGTTACACGATACAATATAGTGGTATGAGAGATGATGATATACTGGTACATATTTTCAGTAGTTTGATAAGTGGCCTTTGTGTTTGTACAAATATGAATCCTTTCGATGTAATTAGTACTCGTATGTATAATCAGAAAGTTGATCATAATGGAAAGGGAATGTAAGTATAGATAACTGAAGTTGAATTTGATATTACCGTTATTTTTATTCTTTATTTTATTTTTTAAAACAAAAATAATTTTAACCGACAATTCATTTATTATAGTCTGTATAAAAATACATTAGATTGCTTTGTAAAAACTATTAGAACCGAAGGAATACGTGGATTGTATAAAGGATTTGGTGCTCAATTTCTCAGATTAGGGTAATCTATAGATTTATATTATATTTATTTTTTTGATTTGAATTTAAATAAGACAATTTGACTTACCTCCTTTTTATAGGCCACACACAATTTTAACTCTTGTATTTTTGGAACAGTTCCGTGAATTATATATAAAATATGCAATTTAATTATAATCTATATAAAATTATATTTGAAAATTCTTTTAAAAATTCTGGAATCCTATTTCATGTTAAATATGTTTTAAATTTAATTTTAATTCAAAAATATTATTAGAATATCTAAATAGAAATTATATTTTACAAACTATTATTATATTATAATTTTATCAAAATTTAAATATTTCTATTAATATAATATTTATTATAATCTATATATATATATATTTATTATAATTACAAAGTATAATCTTAATACATCAAAAATCAAAATTGAAAAAAAAAAAATAAATTAAAAGAAACTTATCCAATTAAAAAAATATATTAAAATATGAATCAATCAAAATGATTTTGATATTCTTTTTGAACCTTTTTAAAATTTAAATGATCTTTGAATACAAATGAAAACCCTATATTTTATACATAATTTTTTCATTTGTTAAATAATTATAAATATACATTTTATACATAATCTTTTCATCTGTTAAATAATTACAAAGTATACATGTTATATGTGATTTTTTCATCTATTAAATAATTACAAAGTATATATTTTACGTGATTTCTTTATCCAAATATTTTTTGATTTTACTTAAATACATAAAACATTTATTTTTTTAATCATGAAGTATATTATTAAAAGATTTTCTAACAATGCTCTATCTCTAAATAAAGAAACATGATCTAATGCAATAGGAATAACCTATTGTAATCTGCTTTATATGTAATTACAATTATTTCTTGAATAAAGTTTTGCAGCATCCCAGTGCATTTCAATATAATTAAACTTGTAGTAAAATTTTAAATAGGAAAATTACCTTATGACTTTTACTTTTAATAATTTCTTGAATTATACATTTTGAGCAAAAAAATTGGATTGATTTTCTAAAATATGTTGCATATAATTTTGATTATTTATTAAATCCTTATTTTTACAAAACCTTTTAAATCTGGTATTAATAATTGATATTTATGTAAAATTTGTTTCATTCCTTTTATTTTTCACAAAAAGATTTTTTAATGTCAAAAAAATTCATAAATTAAACATTATTATTAAAAATAGTATTTTTATTTTTAGTTGTTTACCACTTGATTTTACATTTATGTAACTTGCAATAAAAGTATTAGGAATTAAATATATTATATAAAATGGAATTATTAAATGCAAAAATAGTAATAGCTTTAGGATGAGTTGCTTCAAATATTAGAATTGCATTTTAGCTTTATATGAAATATTATTAGCAACTTTTATTCTTTACTTAATTGTAATCATCTAATTATTTCATATAAAAAATCACTAACTTTAATACTTCTTCCTCTTTCTTTTTTGTAAAGTGGTTACTCTTCATGTAAGATTATCTCTTATCATTAGAATGAAAAGTATCTTATTATAAGTTATTTGAATATGCAAATATTAATTTTCTTATAAATCATGATTAATTTAAATATTTAGATTATTATTAAAATTTTGATATATTTTTTATCTCGCTATTTGTTCTAAAAACTTTAACCTATATGCAATTATATCAGGTCTTTTATAATTATTAATTTAAATGCTTTTTAAATTATTTAAACTTAAATCCTATTTTATTAAACTAATTTCTAGCCATTTTTATATTAAATTGAGAATTCAAATTAATTTTAAATTAATAAAACAAGATTTTTTAATTTAAACCTGATATTTATTTTCTATTCGATTCTAAATAATGGAAAACCAAAATTTTTACATAATCAGTAGAATCAGCAACATAAAATTTAAATTTATTTCATATAAGTATATTACTATTTGCATTTAAATATCTTTATCATTAAGTAAATTTTTAATTTTATAATGTTTTTCCTGTTTAAA